CCCCGCCCCCGGCGCAGGGGCGTGTCCGCCCGCCGAGCCCCGCCCACCCGCGATCGGGCCCCGCCCCCACTCCGAGCCCGCGTCCCCCCACGGAAGGGAGGGCCTCCCCACCCTGCGCCTCTTGCCGGTCCCTCTCCCTGGCGATCTGGAGCCTCCTGCCCTTCCTCCGCCCAATCATTCACTTATAAAAATGTGCTTGCAAAAAGAAACAAAATAAATTCCCACTTTCCCACACCAGGAGGCAACGATCCATCGCCCGTGGAGACGTGTGACGGTGAGGAACTGAGCTCGTTCGTCACGTCTCAGTTCGGGACAAGCGGCGCGGGTCCCTCGGCTCCGATGCGGAGCTGACCACAGCCGCAGCTTCAGGCTCTGTTTTTTAGTACAGCGCCCGCCAGGGAAATCGCTCGAGGAGGAGCACGCTCGGCTGGGCCCAGTGCCTGGACGACGTCTTTATTTTTTCAGACAGGGTCTCAGACTCACTGTGTAGCCCAAGCTGGCCTTGAACCCACGGCGATCCTCCGGCCTCACCCTCCTGAGTGCTGCGATTACCGGCGTGTGCCACCTCGCTCACGTCTTCACTGTGCATGATTTAGGTATATTTGGATAGAAGCACTTCTGAGACATCTATTTACCAAGGTCTGATTACTTTCTGTCCCAGAAAACAATTAAGGAGAGAGAAAAGCATTTATTTAATGACTATTTCTATTATTCCTGCCCTGACTTCATTTTTTGTGCTTCGCCTTAATGTGTGAGATTGTAGTGGGGAAGGGGCTGTGCAGGTGGAAAAATGGAAGCCTGGAGACGGTCTCACAGTTCAGTTAGGGTCAATAAACATTTTTTAAATACCTTCCATCTTCAGGTCAATATAATATTAATAGTCACTGAAGGATGAGTGTTACCCCATTGGGCACTGCTGTCAAGAGGAATAGATACGTAAGCAAGTTCTGTAACTTGGGCTGTTTTACCCCCTTCATGGGGAGGGGGATCCTGTTTCCCTCAATATTCGGATCAGAACGATCAGCAGAAAGTGTTTTTCCGCACTGCCTTTCTCCCAAGTTATGCCCAAGGACCTCACCTATTCTCCAGTCCTCAGGGTGGTGGCAGGAAGCAGCACTAGCCTAGGCAATTTGAAGAGCGTTTGACGAAGGGACTCTTTGGAAAGATATGAGGTAGTAAGTGTCAGAGAAAGCAACAATGGGGACCACATGGTAGTCCTAGTAACTGGGGGAAGGTGTGGGAGCCCGGGTGGGGTGGGAACTTTGGAGAGGGTATCTGGACCAAGAAGGGAGAGGCGTCCAGCACTTGCGCTCACCAGAGCTAATGCAGTGCTCCTGTGTTTGCCTCCAGTGTCTCAGACCCAAGGCCTGCCCTAAGAGCTGAATCCCAGTTTTGCTTTCAAGAGACTTCGGCCCGCAGGTCCTCATTGTCTCAGGGCTTCCCAGCTGATAATATTGGGCAACTCTGAGGCTGAAAATAGGTCCTGTCTACTGCAACAGCTGTTGTACTGATGCCCTGGAAACCCCAAGTCTCCTGAGCACAGCTTCCGGTGCAAGCTGCTGGTGTGCTACTTCCTGTATGCCGAATCCTAATCAGTCCCAGGTAAGGACAGTCTGCCTGGGGAGTCTCCCCAGCGATGGCGACTGTGGCCCGGTTTCCGTGCGCAGTCACCTCTCCCTGGGGTCCGTGGGGCCCAGAGACCCCTGGGCAGGGAAAAGGTCATCTCTCAGAGCAGCCATGAAGATGGCCGCCAAGGGGTAGATATTCCTATGAAAAGACCTCACAGGTCTGATGTCTCATGAAGAAAAGATTGGTCTGAGTGGGAGGCAGAGGTGCATACATTTTATCCTAGCACCCTGGGAGGCAGAAATAGGAGGACTGAAAGTTTAAACCCCGGCCTGGGCAATTTGGTAATTTAACAAGACTTTGTCTTTAACAAGGGAGCGGGGAGCTGGGATGCCTTTAGTGCAGAGGCCCTGGGCTTAATCCCCAGTACTGCAAAAACAAAAGCAAAACCATCATGATTCTAGCTTAATTTTGAAAATTTAAATAAATGCATGGGAGAACTCCTCAGATCAAACCCAAGTCTCAGTCAAGTCCCAAAGGAGCCCTGTCACCGTCCTCAGGGTGGGATAGTGTATGTTTGCTTCACATCTTCATGACTACAAGGGGCCACTTGAAAGTCACAGGACAGAGTTTGCACAAAGGCGAAATAAAACGTTTTATTAACAGGCAGGTACAGAAAAGCCTTTGATCAAAATACTCAACAAGCTAGGAATCAAAATTCTCAACTTGACAGCATATCTATGAAACCTCTGGCTAATATTATTCCTGATGGCGAAAGACCAAATGTTTCTCCCTGTGATAAGTGTTATAGTTTGGAGCTAACATTTCCCCAGAAGTCACACTTAGTATTCAGGGGCGTGGAGGATGACTACATCATGGGGGCACTATTCTCACCAGTGGATGAATCCACTGATCCACTGAATTTCATGAAAGCCATGAACAAAATAAATTTCTCTTGTAGGGGCATCATGGTAAATTTTTTGAAAAAGCACATTATGGGGGGGCATAATGCCTACATTTTTAGGAGTATTTCTATTGCTGAATTATTAATTTTATTATATGAAACAGCATGTACTTAACAGGAAAATAAAATATCAGTAAAATATTAAATTTTTAATATGTAATGAATGTATAGAATAAACATCAACATTTTCAACATCAACTGTTTACCTGCTTAGAAGATCTAAAATATAATAGCAGGAATAAATTCTTGTGAGAACTACAGTGAAAATACAAACAAAATTCTACTACAGAAATAATCTTTGCTGCAATTATCACACCCAAGGCAGTCTTTTACACATGACAGTAGCATATTCCATACATAAGTCTCGCTTACACTGACAGCACATGTGCGTAACTTTCCTTTCCTATTTGGCAGGCCGTACTTATCACCTCTCTTGCTATTATATTATACGATGTGCACTTACTAGGAAAATGAAACATCAATAAAATAAAATATCAAATATGTAATGTTTGGAATAAATATCAACATTTTCTGCATCAGCTGTTTGCTTACTAAATCTAAAAATCACAATAGAAATAAATTCCTATGTGAACTACAATGAAAATACAACTGACACTCTACCACAAAAATAATCTTTACCTTAATTATCACACCTAAGGCGGTTTCCACTGCCTTAGCACATGTGTTTTATTTTCCTGTCTTTTTTGGAAGGACATCTTGACATCTCACTGGTCTTCCTGTTTCTTAAGAGGTTCTTGTGATGTTTCACCTGTCTACTGATCTGCTCCAGAATGTTTTTGCAGAATCCTCTGGGCAATATATACTATTTTTCTTCTGTTATAACTGATTATTTATTAATTCTATCCTTGAAGAAAATTTCTCCATGATATTTTGTGTTTGTGATTTTCTTTGTAAACTATGAAACTATACCTAACATGTTTAAGATCGAGTAAGATACAACCATTGGCCAATGCTTTGTGTTTTGAGTGACATCATAGTTGCTGAATAACTTGTCAACAACATATACTCTGCCTTTTGTTTTGTTGTAAAATGTGATCATTTCTGGATTCGTTTGCATTGAGGATTCACTATCAATTTTGGTTTGTTTGTTTATTTGTCTTGAGAAAGAGTCAGACTAGCCTTGAATTCACAATGTAGCACAGGCTGACCTTGAACTCCCGGGATCTTCCTGCTTTAGCCTCTAGAATGCTGGGATTACAGATGTGTCCCCCCCTTTCACTAGCAAGCTTATCATCATGGTGTAATGTTGACAGTATCAATAGTATTTCGTTTTTCTTCACCCTATAGGAGGCCAATGTTATATCTTTCTGAAATTCAAAGATCGTATTATACATTTCTTTTTTCTTTGTTTGTTTTGTTTTGCTTTTTGGGTGCTGGGGATCGAACCCAGGGCCTCGAGTATGCAAGGCAAGAACTCTACCTCTGAGCCACATCCCCAGCCCTACACATTTCTATATTGTGAACTTGCAACATTTTTTTTCAGGAATCTCCACTTTGTTCTTGGGAATAATTCCTGAGCTGGTCAACTGGTGTTTTCCTTTAGCAAATGTAACATCAATGGGTAACTAGTGAAACAGTTGTCCAGCGTGGCATTTGGGTTACTTTTTGAAGTAGGTGCAACAGTCTGTGTGGTTCAAGTCTTCATATGGTTTATTACTGCACAAACAAAGACCTGGTGGCTGAGTTCCAGGATAAATGTCTAAATTCAGGGTGTAAAATGTCTTTCCATCTACCAGAGCATATATTTTTATACCATATTTGGAAGGTTTATTTAGCATATGTTGCTAAAACCTTCAACAACCACAAAAGCATGAAAGTTGCTTTTTAATTTTATTCAGATGGTGTATAAATTGTATGCCAGTTTGAAACAAAGCTTTCAAATAATGAGAGAATAGCAGCAAAATTGTTTTTTATTCTTTTTTCTTTCTTGACAGTTGTTTTTATTGCCAAAACAGACAATTTTGAAAGAAGTCAAATCTTTTGAGTGTCGCTCCAGACACTCAAAAATCTCAATGCCACATCTGTCACTTCTCCATAAATCCTTTAGATTCTGATGATTAGAATAATAGAGTTCTGCTATGACGGCTTTTAGTTCAGAATGATATGCCATGATAATTTTTTTTTGTATTTTTTTGAGACAGGGTCTCACTATGTAATGCAGACTAACGGTGAGCTTGCTTATGTAGCCCAGGCTGGCCTCAAACTCACTGCAGTCCTCCTGCCTCAGCCTCCTGAGTCTCACCATGGTGGGCTCAAATATATTTTTGAGTATCACTATTGATGCATGTAGAATGTTTTACTCATAATTTCATTATTAGTGGGGCAAATGTGATAACCACTACA